CTGGAAGAACACTGACATAGTGGCATTTGTAAGCCTACTGGAAGAACACTGACATAGTGGCATTTGTAAGCCCATCTGGAAGAACACTGACATAGTGGCATTTGTAAGCCAATCCAGAAGAACACAGACACAGTGGCATTTGTAAGCCAATCCGGAAGAACACTGACAAAGTGGCATTTGTAAGCCGGCCCATCTGGAAGAACACTGACAAAGTGGCATTTGTAATCCTATCTGGCAGAACACTGACACAGTGGCATTTGTAAGCCAATCCGGAAGAACACTTGACATAGTAGCATTTGTAAGCCTATCTGGCAGAACACTGACACAGTTGCATTTGTAAGCCGGCCAATCCGGAAGAACACTGACAATGTGGCATTTGTAAGCCGGCCCATCTGGAAGAACACTGACATAGTGGCATTTGCAACCATTTTAAGCTTGTCTCTGAGCTAGTTGCATTTATGTTTTTTGTAAGCCTCTCTGCTTGGTTTTGTAGATATTGTTATACACACATAATGTAAAAATATCTTACCTCAAAGAAGTGCTCTAACCAATCAATTGGAGCCAAAACGATGAAGATTGAAACCAAAGTTAGCAAAACTAGAGCTCCAGTATATAGAACTATGGGTAATGAAAGCAGAGCATATTGTAAAGTTAAAGCAATTTTTCATCATGTCCTCATTAAAAATACATTTCTGTTTGTAAGTTAATGAGAAATAACAACGCAAAAGTCTCCTTGTGAGTCTCAAAGGGGGAAATTATATGCATAGTAAGGGATTGGGTTGAGCTGAATAGAAGTGATACAATCACATAACCAGGTAGACCCAGTGTTTTATATTAACAAAATATTATCGTTTTATGCATTCCTTCTGTTGTGTGAAAAAACGATATTCACGATTGGTGATTTGTAACATTTATTTAATATACTATAAACCTTTTTTAATGATCCACTATACAATAGATGAAATTTGTTTGCAGAGTGATATGTATGTATTTATGCTCACAAAATTATAAAATGCTCTTATTAGTGATTTTAAGTTTCTCATAAAAAATTGCCACCAGGCAGTTAAATCCATAAAAATGTTTAAGAAACTGAAAAAAACATTAACTCTAATTTTTGTACTAAATCATTAATTATAATTCTTATTGTTTTGAATATAATTAACTGGAACATGGATAGTATGTTTCAATTTATGACCCAGACTATGTATTTGTTACATGATGATATGGACACCATGTGATAAACGTCATAAATCAATTCAAATATAAAGTGATGGCTTCCTAGAATTGTCAGTGGATAGTTTTTTTTGCTAAAAAAATGCCAATAACAGGGATGCATCTTCCTCAAAAAAAAAATGGGTTCAAAGGAATAAATTTCATTGCAATAAATGTGTGGAAACAAAGTTACATAATTGTGATTCAATGAAATTGGAACAGAGTTTAGCATTGTATCTGTTGACACTCTATGTAAGTACATGTATATCAAAGACATCAAAGGATAAAGTAAATTGTCTAGTAGAAAAACAAATATTTATTGGATATACTTACAGTTACGATATATAGGTTTGGTGTAGGGTTTGCCAGTAGAAAAGGCCACAGCAACAATTAAATATTGAAACACAGACACCAAGAATATAGTTGTGGTTTCATAGCAGACAATATTTGCATCATAGTCTTCAGTATCTGCTTCAAGCGGTTCATACCTACATTAAATATGTTATAAACATTTCACATACCTACTTAAGAAACTGAATATGACATATATATATTGTTAGATGCCATATGACCATGTATCACCCACCACTCCAGCCTTTTGTCACCCACCACCCAAACCATTTGTCACCCACCTCATTGGCCTTTTGTCACCCACCACCCAAACCATGTGTCACCCGCCGCTCCGGCCTTTTGTCACCCACCACCCAAACCATGTGTCACCCACCTCTCCGGTCTTTAATCACCCACCACCCAAACCATGTGTCTCCCACGTCTCCGGCCTTTTGTCACCCACAACCCAAACCATGTTATCAACCACCTCTCCGGCCTTTTGTCACCCACCCACCTGACCAAGCGTCACTTACCTCTTCAAACATGTTTGTTTTTTATTTTAATGCTCAAACAGTATCATTAAAATCCCAATATTAACAGTAATTTTATCGCAAACCTTAAAGGCAGGTTTCAGAACGTTAGAATTAAAAGATACATCTACATAAGTTGTAAGAATGAAACAATGAGTTCTTTATTTTACTGAAAGTTTACAATGGCATGAATTCACATGTCTTTCAGTAAATTCAATAGATATGAATTGAAGAATGAATGTGGTTTAAATTTTAAGTTAATACTTACCAAACCTGGGCCTTCAAGATGTAAAATGCTGCTGTTTGAATGGCAACTTGAACAAGGATTTGTAGCAATATTGACACAAGTATAGGGGTGGTCATCAAATGTGTCAGAGGTTTCTTTGTTACAATCTTATCATATGCTTCACTTCGCCCCACTACAAATTAAAACAGATAAAAGATGTATCAGACATAGTTGTGAAGAAAAAAAAAACTAGACAATTCCAATTTGTATTTGGGTAACTGAAGATTTGCGACCCTGGCCCAGGCTCCTGGAGATGACAGGAGTGTTATGTACATTGGGAGCTTGGCGTTCCCGGGTGCAGCAAACAGGTCTATCTTTGGACAATCCCACATCAGAAACAGCCTGGAGGTTACCCACTGGGGTATCAGTCACTCCGTGTTCTGGAGACAGAGCAGCCTTGAAAGGGCGTCTGCCAGACTGTTTCTCACCCCTGGAAGGTGGTGTGTGGTTAGCTCCACATTGTATTGCAGGCACCAAAGAGGAATTTGCTCCGCTAGGACTGACAATGATGGGGAACGCGTCCCCCCTCCTTGTTGAGGAAGACCACTGCTGTGTTGCCTGTGCGAAGCAGGACTATGTAGTCTCGAACTATGGGTAGAAAGTGTGGTAGTACTATGTGCACTGCTTTCAGTTCGAGCCAGTTGATATGCCGGTCCCAAAACTAATGCGGGTGCCATATACCTTGGGCTTATTCGTCCAATAGATGCGCTCATAGTCATAGCTGTGGCGAGTGGGTCCAAGGTATGTACAGGTAGGCCCCGCTGAAGTCTAGTGGGGCTAGCCAGTCGAAACGGTGGATAGAGAGAAGAATGCTGAATGACGTCTCCATGCGGAACTCGTTCGAGGAGCACGTACAGATTTAGTCTGCCTGGGTCCAGAACTGGACGCCCGCCACCTGTAGATTTGGTACTACGAACACATTTGAGTAGAAACCTGAACTTAATGCCGGCTAATCTACCTTGTGTATGGCGCCCTTTTCCTGCAAACTGTCTACTTCCTGTCTGATTGTTTCCGCTTTGCGGGAGTCCCCTGGCAGTGCCCCTAATGGGGAAGACACTGACGGGGTAGATGGAGATTTCAATGGTATCCTGTAACCGTATGTCACCACCTGGAAAGCCTAGGGATCGGTCACCCGCTGCCTCCAAACCAGACTACATTAGCGCAATCTGTATGCAACAGGGATATGTGGCCATGGGTTCAGCAGTTGCGAGGTATGGGTGCTCTCTTCTCCCATGAGATGAGTTTCCCCAAGGCCTGCGGTAGTCACTAAGTTGTGACCTGGCCACTCGCCAAACCCCTGTCCCCCTGGTTGCAGAGGTAAGTGTCAAACATGCTTCCCCCTCTGCCAATGTGGACAACTGCCAGTACAGAGAAGAATAAGGAGCCACCACCTGGCCCCTTCCTTCCTGGGGGCGCGCCGCTACTCTTACCTCATTTGGAAGGGTATGAGCGATTGCCTCCTGGCTGACTCTGGCTAGCGGACGTTGCCTTAGGGCGTTGTGTTTTCTGTGCTTGGGGAGCCCTCCGTTCACCCTTGGGAGTGGCCAACTAGCTAGCGGATTTGATCTGAACCATCTGGTTTGTTGCACTCCGAAGCTCTGAGTCTACACCCGCCATCTCCCCATGAAAGAAAATGAAAGATGTCCAGATTGCGTCACTGGGGTGGAGACGTACCCCCTGACTCAGTTCGTCGGCGAAAACACACGTGTCTAAGGCCGCGTCTCATTGCACAATAGTAGCCCCGGCCAAGAGATCCAGGTGACACTGGAGGATGTCGCATGAAGATGTGCGGTGACCCACCAGTAAATGTGTCTAGGAGGTCTAGGAGGCTGGTGCATTCTGGCTCCGAGGTCTCTAATAATGCGCTCAAGCAACTCTGCCCTCAGGGCGTGATGGATCGTCTCAGACTGAGCTGGCAAGGACTTCCATGGATGTGACCGTCCCCCTTTACCCGGTTTGCCAAACGGAAATTCGTGGTACCGGGGTTCGGGAAAGGAGCCTTGGGATCCGGTTGGGGGCGTTTTGGTCTCATCCCACACTTTGGGGTCTGATCCCGAAACAACACCAACCAGGTAGCATTTGGTCAAGCAGAAATTGTTGCATAAGATTTACCTCACCTGGGGGCATTAAGAGTTACCTTCTCTGCGGCTGACCAATGTACGCCCATCAACACTGTCTGCGGGTCCTGCGCCCCACTCAGCACTCGACTGGACAGGGGGAGATGTGCCGACGGGGTTGCTTTGGATCCTGATGCCTGTGATCCCATAAGCGTTGAAGCAACAGTAAGTGGTTGCCTTAGGATCAAGGGTGGGGATCGATGATACTCCGCATCACCCCAACTGCGTGGTTCACAGAGTCGTTACAAATGGAAGACTCTGAGGGTCCACCCGAGGTACAGGCTGTATCCGTAGCGGGCAAATTGTCTCCTTTTAACCTAAATATGTGAGCGAGAACGTGTTCGACTGTGTGTCTCATGACAGGGTTGGTTACCTCTGGGGACGCTCATGGGTCAGTAAGAGGGAGACAAAACCCACAGCGGAGCCCGGACTCAAGGGTAAATTCTTGAGTCCGGTACCGCGCGACGAACCCTGGCTGGCTGAACGTGGGGGGGGGGGTGGAGAAAGACCCGGTGCAACTGACCTGAGCCTCGGCCACACCCAAATCAGCGGGAGAGTCGCGGATGGGAACAGGGTTTCCCCAGAAGAGACATGTTTTAAATGCGAGCGATGCTTTTGTGTTTCTTCCTGCTTGCCGACCGAGGGGCCGCAGTGGAGACAGCTCGCTCCGACTGCATCTTATTTACCCTGATAGTCCTTCGACCAAAGCCCTCATCTCGGAGGCAAACCTGGCACTGTGAGAGGACGGATCCACAAAAGGACCCGCGACGGGCCCCATAGAAGGAAAGACCTCCAGGGGCACAGCCTCACTGTAGCCGATAAAATCAGGTAAACCACCACCTGAAAACACAGACTGTGAGGATGCCCTGCGATCAGCAGGGGGAAACCGAAAAATATCGGTACCTCCATCATCGGGCCTCCTACTCGACGTTTCAGTACACGAAATATCGGTAGCTGAGCGTGAATGACTTTCCACTCATGCCAAGACGCAAAACATCCCAGGCCTCAGAACTCCAGTGAAAAACACACGCCTTCAAGGCAAAAACCCCAAACCCCGCACGCAGTCACGGCTAAAATAGCATTTCGGATGCAGATTCTATGCTGGTAAATTCTGATTATAACCACTGCATAGTCACCTCGAAAAACGAGGAGACAAAACCGCGTGCGAACCTCTGGTGCTATCATTACATCTATCCATTCTAAACATGACATGAACACGACATGCATAAGAGAAGTGAAATATGGTTGAAAAAGTGGTTACATCGCCGGGTTTTACTTTCTTTGTTGTTAAAAATGCTACAAACAAAGGAGAAATCAACACGAGGGTAAAAATGACAAGGAAAACTTATCCTACCAACCACAATGTTGGTTACTGCGGCTGCGGTAACAACCCAAGCCAGAAACCCAGACAGGAAAAGGCAGGCCTTCCAGGCAGAGCCGCTAATCTTTCATCGCAAAGGTGCGAAGATAAAAACAGAAGTGATTATCCGGCCGTAATGGCGCCGCCATATGGCCTCGGTCACGTAGTTTGTGACCTAAGGAAAAAGAATATTGGGGTCAAGGGGCTTCCCCTGACCTAGATTCTATCTCTCCACCACTGGCAGAATCGCTGATTAATGCCTACAGTTCAAAATACCGGTAATTGAACGTAGTGAATTGGTATATATTTCCTATGTTTCTAATATAAATTCAAGAAATACCAACACAAAAGTGTTATAAGATGCAGGTGATTTTATACACAACACTTTCATAACCAATTCCTGTGTTATATAAAATTATACTTTTCTTCTTTCAAACTTGTTTACATTATAATTAATTAATTATATTGTTGGTTACGCAGTCATATATGATATCATTGGTGGATATCTTTCCATGTAGTGTATACTTTTCCACAGGATCAGTGGTGGATATCTTTTATGTGGTATGTACCTTTCCCACAGAATCAGTGGTGGATATCTTTCC